GGGTGGACCCGGGGCGTGCGGCGGGAATGGGGGCGGGGCCTAAGGGGTTGGGGTAATTGAGGAAACTGAGGCATGGGAAACTGAGGCATGGGTAAGTACTTGGAGGCGTGGGGGTAAGTGGAGGGTTATGAGGCGGCTTAAGTGGAAGTTGCCGTGTACTCCCGTTGGCGTTTCTTGCAATCTGACATGGTGTAAAGTGGCGGTGACTCTTCTGATAAAATAGTCCTTTGTGGTAGCCTACAGATAACCCTTTGCATTGCGTTTGCATCGCTCCTTTCATCGGGAGACTGGACGGTGCTGTACAGAGGAGGTGTTATCCCCCTTTCACAGCCAGGGATACTCAGGCATAGAGGGGAAGTGCTGCATATGTTGGACGGTTACGTCAGGCAGAGCTGGGAATGGAATTCGGGTATTCAGATTCCCAGACTCCTGCTTTCAATATTAAGACTGTTGCCTCTACTTTCAGGTATAAAATTGCAACTTTTAGGTACTTTCAGTGGGTAATAAGATTCCTATTTAAATTACAGAGCACTTACTGTTCCACCATGGTTCAGCATTGTGCAGCCCTAAACCGCTCAGTGCAAGTTGTTAACCTGGACCCTGCAGCAGAATACTTCAATTATCCTGTGATGGCTGGTGAGTTGTGTTTGGGTGCATTGTTTCTTAATTTCTTGTACTCTCCGAACTGCTGAAAATGGATAGAGAATAGAACAGTTCTTACACAGGCTGAATCAGGCTTGAATATCGAGTTTTCTTTTTAATGACAAATTCAAATTTAATTCAAATTTGACCTGTCTGCATGTCAAAGCTGTTCTGATTTGACTTACAGCACTCTCCCGATTTTAAATCTGATTTTTATTTTTTAATAAAAGGAGCTATATATATATATACACACACACACACAAAAAAAACTATGGTATTTTGAGGCAATATTAGTAGGACCTATACAATATTTTTCCTGAATCTATAGCAGTATTTTACAAACCTTTTAGAAATAGTCAGTGTTCTGGTTTCCCCCTATATATACATTTTTTTTGTCTGTTTGAGGGAATGGAGAAAAGAAACAACACTTTAAAAAAACCCAGGAATTTGTGACTGTAAAATCACAAAAATTGGCAAAAGGCATGGGGGATGGGAGAGCTGGGGCAGCACCTGAAACAAATTTAGTTGGCAAAGATCATTTGGAGATTTAAACTTGTAGGAATTTGCTTCTGGAATTTATTTATGAAGTGTTGAAAAAAACACAAAACATGCACTTTTTATTCTAGACATTCGAGAATTAATTGAAGTAGATGATGTTATGGAAGATGACAACTTAAGGTTTGGTCCCAATGGTGGTTTAGTGTTTTGCATGGAATACTTTGCCAATAACTTTGATTGGCTTGAGGATTGTCTTGGCCATGTGGAGGATGACTACATACTCTTTGATTGCCCAGGTAAACAAGCTTCTATATTCTGGTGACTTAATTTTTTTTCTTATCTGATGTGTAGATTTTGTTTGCATGTATTTGATCATTTGCAGATAAAGCCTTTTTTAACTGTTATGTGGTTTAGTGCCAAAATGAAACATATTATTTTGTTTAAAACTGTCCAAGAGCAAATACTTCTTTTTAGATAATGCTATCACACATTCTGTGCTAGATTTCACTAATTTTAATAGCAATATCTTCTGCCTATCTACTATAATGGTATTTGATGAACTAATATGCTATTACTGTCTCAGCATTAGCTTTACACTCCTGCATATTAATTATGTATGTGTCCTAGGTCAGATTGAACTTTATACTCATTTGCCAATGATGAAACAGCTGGTGGAGCAGCTGCAACAGTGGGAATTTCGTGTCTGTGGAGTTTTTCTTGTTGATTCTCAGTTTATGGTGGAATCTTTTAAGGTAGGAGTTTTAAATTGATTGTAACAAAGTTTTTAATTTACAGATGAACAATCTGGAGAAATGAATAACTATATTCAGAATATGGATGTTAAATATTGGTGAATTGAATAGTCAATTAACCTCATGAATTCTTATTGGTTAGTCGACTATTCTATAGTCCCCAGGCAGCCCCTGTCCGAGGGGGAGGAGTCTGAGCTCCCAGACCCGGCACAAACCGGAACTGAGCCGGGCTGCCTAGCTCCTAATAAACTTTAAATGCAGAGCTGCAGTGGGGGTAGGTCCAGGACCCAGTGCAAGCCAGGGCTAAGCTGGGCTGCTGGCCAGCCTGCTAAAAAATTTACTGGCGGGGGGTGGGGGCAATGACTGTAGTCTATAGCATTAACCTATAAGCTTTTGCTTATCAGTTAATCGACTGTACTGTTACATCCCTAATTCAAAAGCAATCATAGCATTTTTCACCTCTCCATTGTCACTCTTTTGTAAACTTAAATATTCTTTATGGCCTAATAGTCTGTGGAGGTGTGGGTAGGAAGTGGGAGTCATGAGATCTGGGAAAAATCCTTGAATGCTGACTGTTCGCTGTATCAATTAACCTGTAAAATGAGCAAAATTGGTACTTGAAAAATGAAGTTCCTGAAGTAAGGGATACACTGAGATGGGAATCCTAGAACTCGCCCAGAAGTAGGTTGGCTTCTGACCTAACAATGTCCTTAGACATTGCTTTGCCTCCTACATTTCATATCTGTCTGTTGCTAGTAGGGGCAAAACTACTAGCAAAAGACAGAAATGAGGCTGTAGGGTAAGTTGTGCATATATGCACAAGACTGGGTGAAAAAGGCTGATGGAGTAAGTTGGAAAAAAGTATAGTACAGAAGGGGAGAGACCCTGTATCTTCATTCACCTATCTCTACAAAAGAAGCCAGGGATGTTATTTCCCTGTTTATGTACACATATTTGCACTCACTCTCACCAAGTTAGCGCAAGTATAAATAGCACCTCAATAGCATAGTCAGCAGCAGTGGAGACATGGTTGAGCCATACCAAGTACATATTTGCCAATTTTAGATGGGTTTAGACTTAGCACATGTCACCTATGCCTCTGTAGCCACTACCTGTGCTACTCTGCTATTCATAAAACTATTAGGAATCCTGTGACCTTGTCCCTATGTATGTATAACAAAAGAAAGAGAGTATCCATGCCTCCGTAAACTCCACTCCAATTCATCTCATCGTAGAATCATAGAATACTAGGACTGGAAGGGATCTGGAGAGGTCATCGAGTCCAGTTCCCTGCCCTCATGGCAGGACCAAATACTGTCTAGACTATCCCTGATATACATTTATCTAACCTACTCTTAAATATCTCCACAGATGGAGATTCCACAACCTCCCTGGGCAATTTATTCCAGTGTTTGACTACCTTGACAGTTAAGAACTTTTTCCTAATGTCCAACCTAAAGCTCCCTTGCTGCAGTTTAAGCCCATTGCTTCTTGTTCTATCCCCAGAGGCCAAGATGAACAAGTTTTCTCCCTCCTCCTTATGACACCCTTTTAGATACCTGAAAACTGCTATCATGTCCACCCTCAATCTTCTCTTTTCTAAACTAAACAAACCTAATTCCTTCAGCCTTCCCTCATTGGTCATGTTTAATCATTCTCGTTGTTCTAGACCTTTAATCATTCTCGTTGTTCTTCTCTGGACCCTCTCCAATTTTTCCACGTCTTTCTTGAAATGCGGTACTCCAATTGAGGCCTAATAAGCGCAGAGTAGAGCGGAAGAATGACTTTTCCTGTCTTGCTCACAACACACCTGTTAATGCATCCCAGAATCATGTTTGCTTTCTTTGCAATGGCATCACACTGCTGACTCATTCAACTTGTGGTCCACTATAACACCTAGATCCCTTTCTGCCGTACTCCTTCCCAGACAGTCTCTTCCCATTCTGTATGTGTGAAACTGATTGTTCCTTCCTAAGTGGAGCACTTTGCATTTGTCTTTGTTAAACTTCATCCTATTTACAGCAGATTAGTCGCAGCCCCTCCCTGCTTGGTATCATCTGCCAACTTAATAAGTGTATTTTCTATACCAATATCTAAATCGTTGATGAAGATATTGAAGATATTCAACAGATATTGATAAAGTGGGTTTTACTCACAAAAGCTTATGCCCTAATAAATCTGTTAGTCTCTAAGGTGCCACAGGACTCCGTGTTTTTGCAGATACACACTGATATGGCTACTCCCTCAGACTTTTGAAATATTCATACTCATAGTCATACTATGAATAGCTTTAATGAGGGCTTGTGTGAGGATATGTTTGTGAGCAAGGGAATCACACACTTAGCTTGTAGATGTAGCCAATGTATACAGGAGATAAAGAATACAATCAGGGCTGTCCTTAGGATTTATGGTGCCCTAGGCGGGATTATTAAACTGGTTCCCCTGTACCTGACTTGCTCTTAGCAACACAAACATAAGCTTACAGTATTGGAAAACTTGCCACATGCACGTTAATAAAAACAGTTTAACTTAATTAAGCACTGTAATGCTGATGGACTAGCACTAAAGAAGTAGCACTATAGAAAAAATTCTGATTTATTGACAATGATGCAAACAAGATAATTTTTAAAATTTGTCAACATTTTATTGGAAATTTATATGAAGAACCCTGCCCTCCTTCACCAGCTGCAAAATGGGGGCCAGCTGAAGGCCAGGGTTGGCCCACGGAGCCCTGCTCACCCCAGACAAACTTGAGGCCAGGCCCAGCCCATGCAGGTCCTCTCCCCCCTTGGAGGAGTCGCTGACAGGACTTCTCTCGGGGGACAGAGCTTCGCTTTTGACAGCACAGCATTGTCATCACCCTTGTAAGCCCCGTAACCTCTTCCAGCTCCCTCCTGAGTTCTGCACTCTCTACCTCCTGCCCTGACTCCTGCTCCCCCACCTCTCTACCCTGAGCCCCCCCATCAGACCCTGTGCCCTGAATCCACCCCTCCTGCCCTCATTCTATCACCTTCTGCCCTGAGCTGCCCCCACAAACCTTTCAGCCCCCTGCCCACACATCGTAACCCCTACCCCTTACCAAGAGTCCCGCATATCTCTGCCCTGTCTCCAGCCCTACAACATTATACTCCTGCCCTAACACCCCACACCTCTAGCAAAAGACAGAAAACTTGCAAATATTGTCCACCAAAAAACTATATCTGATGTTTTAATCACTTTCCTTCTGATATTAATACAAACTTCCTTTTTCCCTTAATTTTTGACAAATTCTATCATTTAAATAAAGCATGTACATTTTCCTTTTATTTTGTAACCTCTCCCCCTCTCGACTCCCCCGACCCCCCAAAAAAACTCTTAAAGATCCAGATACGCTCATAGGGACATAAATATGTAATCACAACATGCATAATATCTCCTCTCAAAGATTTTCTCTTTAACCATGAAGCTTAGAAATGTTTGAAGAAAATGGAGAGTGTCACATAGTAACAGGACTGCAGGAGCTGGGGATTTACGGACCCAGGGCTTCTCTCACTCTAAAAACAACCCCCACCCCCTTCCATGCAAATTGACAGCGGGGCGGGGGCAG